GTAGAGAATTCTTCTATAGGATACATAAATACGATAATGAATGAATCGTTTTTTTTTTGAGAATTAATTTATCATTTATTATAATTGTTTAGACAAGAATTGAGAAATGTGAAGAGATCATCAGATCTAGTCCTGATGGGAAAAGCCAATTGAATAACGATCAGCTGCAATTATATGAGCGAAAGGGTGAGATCGCTGGAGCCTTAAAAGAGTGTGAAGATATTTTGAAACAAGTCGAAAATATTGATAAAGAGGTTAGTCTGTTTATCACAATTTATTCATATAAAATTGGTATTTATTTTTTATTTTTTAAATTAGGAAATCAAAAACCAAAGGATTCTGAAAGAACAACAAGACGAACGCGAAAAAGCTACTGCAAATGCTATTACTGATGAAGTCAAAGTGCCTATCTATATTATTAAGTTTATGAAATTTAAAGATTGTTGACTTAGTTTATTTTTTCCCTCCTATGTTAGGCTACATATTCTCGATCAATCATATGTCTTCTTCAATTCTTTCGACTCGTTCACTTTCAACAAGTCGGTATTGTTCAACTATCACAGGCTGAATCCGAAGCTGTTGAAACTTTTCGTGCTAAACTGACTAATATTGTAGATGAAGTAAAGGATGATATTAGTGAGCTGCGGATCCAAGAAACTTTGGATAATATTAACAAACTTCAGAATGGTGATGAAAGTACAGTAATCGAACCGTTGACTAACGGTACTAATGATACAAATTGTAAATTGGGATTGGGCGTGCTATCACATGGAATAACTTGTATGTTTAATGTTCACAATGGAACTGCGATGCACACGTTCGCTAATATAATTTGTTACCTTTTCATTATATAGATTCTCATATTCGCTCGTTAATTCTGAGTCCACCAATATTAGACTCCGTTGAGATACAAACAGAGCAGGAAGAGTCGTATGATACGCGCGAAGTAGTTAATGTTCAAGGGGAAGGGCCAACACATTTTGATGAGAATTTAGGTATGCATTAAAATTTAAATCTATCAAACATGTTAATTTATATTTGGTTTATATACATTCATATTATCTTAGGTGATATGTATACGATTCCAGTTGGTGGGTTACAGTTTATGTTGCCTCGTGGTATGTTTAATTTTGCATTCGTTGCAATCACTTTTTAATGTAATAAGAATTAATTATTAAGATTTATTAATGCCTTTAGGTGAGCCATCATCTCAGGATATAATTGATCATAATCATACTAGTTATTCATATCCAAATACGGATGTGGATCAGGGTACCCAACTTATTGAAACAACTGCCGATATTCAAGAACAATATCAACAGCAACAACATACTTTTACCGAGCCTTATATGGTTGAACAGCAACAACAGCAATATTCTGTGGAACACCAGCATATCACGGAACATCAACCGGAACAAACTGATCAGCAGCAACAAGTTTCTATGAAACAAAAAGAAGAACCATCAGTACAGCAGCAAGAACCAAATCAAGTTTCTGATAATTCTACTGATGTCCAACAGCAAGTGCTTCAACCAAATGATGCTTCCTCTCCACCACATTCCAATAATTACAAGGGAAATCATCGCAACAATTACCGAAATCGTGGTGGTTATAGGGCACAGGGTGGTCAAGGTTCCAGGAGAGATAATGGCGGTTATAGAGATGGTGGATATCGTGATGGTCGTTACCGTGGCGAGCGTGGTTATTCAAATTCGGGTTCTCGTGGTGGCAGAGGCGGTGGAAACGGATATCAAGGTTGTTAAACATTATATCCTTATATTTTGGTATCACGCATATTATTAATTTATAAACATTGCTTTATTAGGAGGTCATATAAAGCGGAGATAAATCGCATGCATAGTAGGCTGTCAATTAACTGACGGTATTTTTCAACCAACCAAACAATTAAAAATTCTAATCCTATTAAATGATTTTTTTTTTAAAAAAAAAAACTTTTTTTTTTTAATATCTGATTAATATAAAAATCAAATTTCCGTAAAACTTATTCTTTATTAAATTGGTCCCTTTCCTCAGCACCTAGCCTACTATATCGAAAACAAAACTATTAAAAAAAAAAAAAAACTACTGCACACCACTGACTATAGTATCTCTGCTATAATGCCCCATGAAAAGACCCGGGTACAATTCATGGGTTCATGATCCAGAAGATTTGAAAAAGATCTGGGTATTATTTGACATATAATATATATTTATATCTGAAATCTTTATTAATTTAATATTAAGTACTTTTATTATAGTATTCTGTGGCTGGAAGGGTATTATTCAAGAAATTTGATGGTTTATTGAATAGTATCCAGGATATTATAGTTAGTGGTGCATAATGTTAAAATATAA